CCGCATCGTGGGCCGCGAGGGGCGGAGAGTGTTGGAGCGGAGCGGGAGCGCGTCCGCACCGCGCGCTGTGCCGGCGTCACTTGGGGAGTCGCGGACCCCGGCAGCCCCCGCGGAGGTGACGGCGGGCTCGGCCGCGCGTGGGTTCGCCTGTTGCGTTACTCGGGCGGTTTCGGTCAGTGCGTGCGGCTCGGATCTGTGAACTTGGAAGAGAGCTGCTGTTGGGACAGATGAAATGAAGCGTTTCGGTCCCAGCCGTGCGCTGCGGTGCGGGAGGCGCGCTCACATGGCACGCTCCCTGGTGCCTGAGAGTCCTGGCGGGCTTGGGTCCGCAGCCGGTCACCGGGACGTGACGTCGTCGCGCGCGCGCGCGGCTCGGTGCGGTTTCCTCTGGTGCCGTGCGCTGCCCGGCTCTGGGGGCCCGTCCTGAAGCAGCGGGTGGGGAGTGAGGAGGGGTGACCGCCGGGGAGACCCCGTGGGCCGCCGGGGCGGCGCGTGCGCGGCGGGGGAACCACGTTCCCGGAAGTGAGGGCGGCACGCTGCTCGCGGTGCGGCCTGCCGTCGCTTTGCCGCTGCTTCGCGCTCGTGTGTGGCGCTGAAGCGCACGGCCGCGTTCGGAGACCAGAGGCGGCCCCGAGGGGAAACGGAGTCGCGTTGGAACACTGCAGGGGTGGCCTTATGTAATCGGGGAAATGCGACGCGAGGCGTTTTCTTCGTGGTTCCGTTCAACTTGGACGTGTTCCTCGTTTAACGGTGGCTCAGCACTTTTTCAGCGCCGGGGCCGTTTTGTACCGGACTGGATGCTGCCTTTGAAATTCTGTTGCAGCGGAGAGCAGGGAAAACCGTGAAACCGTTGGGCACTTAGCCCGTTGTCGGAGGGAGTGCCTTTTTACTCGTCAGGAATTGACCGGCTGGTGGTAGATTTGGAGTGCTCCCACTGAGTACGGGCCACGGGGGGGGATTGGAACCGCCTCAGCCTTGAATTCGAGAGCGCTGGACAGAATTACCTTTGTCACCGGATGCTGGAAGGGTTAGGAGTGGGGAAGGGCTTTACAGGCCCTATCTTTTCCCCCATTACAGGTCCTTCTCTCCACTTTCATGAAGAGGAGGCTGTGGGCATTTGTTGTTCTGGCTCCTGTGCCCCCAGCTCTGTGTATTCGTCAAGAGAGTAGGGAGGGTCAGGTAGCTAGAATGGAGGTCAGAAGGGCCTTGGTCTCAGTATAGTTGTTTTTGGCAGCAGCCCGGAGAGGGAGGGATAAGGCCGTTTTCAGGGTGTCTTTATTATTTATTTTTAAGCCGGCTCCATGGCCAGCATGGAGCCCACAGTGGGGCTCGATCTCGTGACGCTGAGATCATGACCTGAGCTGAGATCAGGAGTTGGACGCTTAACCAGCTGAGCCACCCCGGCGCCCTTCAGGGTGTCTCTGAACTGTACCTAGGAGACACAGGTGTGATCTTTGGTGCTGCTGGTGAGCCCTGTGCCTTGCTTATATCCCCACGTTCTCATCCCATGGTATTCAGTGATGGTTCCAGCCTAGCGCTCTCCTGAGCTCTAGACTTGGTACCCAACTGCTTACTAGATGATTCCATTTTGGATGTGCTGTAGCCGCTGCTGTAACATAGTCCAGAACTGGTTTAAGCCCCCTCCCTCCATTTCCTGTTCTGGTTAATGCTCCCTCCAGCCTGGTCAGTTTAAAACTTACTGCTTTTGCTCAGTCCTTTACTTCTCACTGCTTTTGGTTCAGACCTGTTTCTCTTACCATGGACTGCCGGGAGAAGTCCCTGACTGGTCTCCCTATTTGCAGCCTCCACTTGAAGTTCTGCATAGGCCCAACAACCTCTGGCAGGTTCTTCAGAGGGGACCACTGCACAAGAATTACATAGAGAACTTTGATCAAAGTAAAATTCCTGGGGCTGCTCAGGAAGGGTCTAATATGTCTGGTGAAGCTTGAAAATCTGCAGTTCTAAAAACTCCAAGAGACTCTTGGTCAGATTTGGGAATCCTTCTTACAGGATAAAGTCCAGACTTCGTAACATGACACGTAAGGCAGTCTATGATCTGTGTAACTTTGATTTCTACTTCTATATGTTTATCCTGTGCTCCAGTGATGGCGAATTATTTATATTTAAACAGTAGGTAGTCTGATGGTGTCACCTTGTCATGTTTCTATGCTTTTGTACCAGTTTCCCTAGTCGCTCATCATTCACTCCTATTGCATATGAAGATAACATAGGAAATCCAGTAGATTGTGCGAAATTACTTGCTTACATATCAGTGTCCCTTTTTCTAATGGTGCACAAGTAGGTATGTGAAAGACTGGTTATAAATATGTTGAAAGTGAATATATAGATTTGCTTTAGATAACTTAATGTTGAAGGTTTGTAAGTTGTCAGTTTTTTTAAAAGTAGCAGTAATTTTTTAAAATGGTGAAAACCTTTATTGCCCTATAATTTTTGAAGAGTTGAGCTGGGGTGCCTGGGTGACTCAGTGGGTTAAGCATCTGACTTTGGCTCAGGTCAAGATTTCAGGTTTCTGGGATCAGCCCCCTTCAGGCTCCTCGCTCATTGCTCAGCTCTCCGCTCAGGGGGGAGTCTGCCTCTCCCTCTCCCTCTGCCCCCACTGTTTGTGTGTGCGCGCGGCTCTCAGTAAAAAATGTTGAGCTAGGGGCGCGTGGGTGGCTCATTCGTTAAGCGTCTGCCTTCAGCTCTGGTCATGATCTCAGGGTCCTGGGGTCGAGCCCCGCGTTGGGCTCCCTGCTCGGTGGGGAAGCCTGCTTCTCCCTCTGCCACTCCCCCTGCTTGTGTTTCCTCTCTTGCTGTGTCTCTTTCTGTCAAAAAAATAAAATCTTAAAAAATGTTGAGCTAGTAGGTCACTTTAATAATTTTAGAGCTGAGAGAGCGATCTGTGATGGACTACTTTTGTTAACCTTTGGGTCTGATGAAATCCAAGGGGACTGAAAATAATGTGCAAGAAATTCATTTCTACGATAATCAAATGTAGTCTTCAGGTACTGCCAGGAATTAACAGCCTGTTTTGTCTGAGGAGCTGAGTTGGCTTCCAGGTCTTAAGTCGTGCAAGTCTTAATTTTAAGTTCGACATAGAGTGTGATTTCCAAAAGTTGGAATTCTTATTTTACTTGACCAGTAAAAGGTTTGGAAGCAGAAATAATAGGGAGAGCATAAGGTCCTAAATATGGAAATATTTTAGGGGCACCTGGGTGACTCAGTTGGTTAAGTGTCCGACTCTTTTTTTTTTTTTTGTAAAGGATTTATTTGACAGAGAGACAGACAGCTAGAGAGAGGGAGCACAAGCCAGGAGAGTGGGAGAGGGAGAAGCAGGCTCCCCGCTGAGCAGGGAGCCTGATGCGGGGCTCGATCCCAGGACCCTGGGACCATGAAGTGTCCGACTCTTGATTGCAGGTCAGGTCCTGATCTCAGGCTCCTGGTATGGAGCCTGGCATCAGGCTCTGCACTTAGTGGGGAGTCTGCTTGAAGATTCTCTCTTTGCCCCCCCCCCCCACCCCCCGGTGGTGCATGTGCGCGCGTTCTCTCTCAAATTTTAAAAAAGGAAATATTTTAAAAATTGTATTCTGAGATACACTTTGAAAACCCAAATCCTTCCAAAAGGTAGATATTGTAGAATTTTATTGGCTTAACAGGTGATAGATGATTTGATGGTCTAAATGGATTGACATTCTAATCAATTGTTTTTTGCTGTTTACATTGCATACTGAGCTGCTTTTGTTGCAGGGTGCTATTGAGGTTTGATCCGAGGTATTAATCTGTACATGGCCATACTCTCCTGGTTTTGCGAGGAATACATGCGAGTACAGATGTGATGGTTCTCACATGTGACCCTTAGATGTGAAGAGAAATTACAATTAACTCGATATTTTTTTTTCATTTTTACAGGTGAACGAGTGCTGTGCTTTCATGGGCCTCTTCTTTATGAAGCAAAGGTATGAAACCTGTTTTCTTTTGAGAAGTTAGCTGAAATGACTGATTAGATGATTCTTGAGCATCAGATTTCAGTGGTTGGTAGGAAGAGAGTTAGTTGCCTTTTTCACAGATTGGTAGTCCATAGCGTCCGTCATGTCATCTTCTCTTACTTGCCGAGGGGGTCAGATACAGCATTGCCACCTTGCCATTCACCTTATGACCTGCTGAAGGCCCAGCAGCTGGAAGGAGCATTTGAGGGGAAAGGTAAAAGGCTGGTTGGTTGTGGGAGCAAGTTGTATGTGTAGCTAGTGACTTGTGAGAAAATACTGCCAAAGTCCGTTTTGGGTGTGAATATAGTATGCTGAGTAAGCCCTGAGCTAACTTGACTACGTTAAAGATCAAAGTGAACGTTAAAAATGTGAGGACATTTAACTTTATTTGTTGGTTTGTCTGTCAGAGTTTGAATGCTAGGGGCTTTCTTTCCCCTGTATGGGGTGTGCTCCTGTTGTCAGAACTGATTGTACATTTAGCCAGAGGTAAATGAGATGATAAATTCCCCAGTAAAAAGTGTTTTTAGTATTTCTGGGAACTTTCAGCGCAAATATGTAAGGTGTAACTGTTTTTAATGCTTGTAATTTTTAAAAACGGTATACAAAACAATACAGCATTTAGTTAAATACAGTTCCTACAGCATTCTTGGTGAGTATATGCGTGAAAATGGTCTTAACAGTCTTGAAGTGCCCGTGTGACCAAATAATAACAATTTTCACTATTTTTCAGTTGCTTTGAATACATAGATTAGATAACGTGTTTTTCAAGTTCTAAAATGACTGAATTTGGATTTATGGAGAATCTGTTAACCTTATGTGTATGTACATCTCTCAGTGATGCATACTAACACTGCTTGTAAGTAAGTTGTGAGTTCTGTTGATCATTTATATTCCTGCATATTATTTTTGTTGTGTCAACTCCGCTAACCTGACAGGTTTTTTTTTCCCCCTCTGGCAGCAGAAACTCCAGTGAACAATTTTTAAATGGCTGTTGGAATAGCTTAAACTATCCTGGTTCTCTTGGTTTGCTCAAGATAAAGACTTTGTATAGTGATCACTTGTCATAGTCGATAACTTCCTTTAATCATGCATTCTAATTGTTTAGGCCACTTTTAAGAAGAACATAAAATGTTTTTCATGTATAAATTGGCTAGTTGCTAATACTCTGCAGCAAAACCGTTTATTGCCTTCCATAAGTTAATGACACTTTTTAATGGTACGGTATAAATAATTTTCTTTAGCTGAATTTGTTTTTGAAATATGTAATGGCTTCTGACTGGTAGGTTTCTGACTGGTAGAAAGTGCAAACATGGCTTCCGTTAGCTGTTCTTGGAGAGCTAATAATCGCGCCCACTGATTTAAGGCTCAGGGTGACCTCTTATGATGGGTTTTCTGCTTTGCTGGACTAGCTCCAGCAGATGGTGACTTTGAGGCAGTTTTATGACTGTTGATGTATGGGAATGAGAAGCTTGAACACTCTTCTTTGTGACCGTCACATTGTGTCGTGCTCGTTTTGGCCACCGGAGTTTGAGTGGAGTGTCTTAAAGATTGTATACCTGAAAAGCATACAGGTGGTCATCTTTTTCAAAACCTATTTCTGAGTGAATTTTTTCTTTTCTATTTCAGTGTGTAAAGGTTGCCATAAAGGACAAACAAGTGAAATACTTTATACATTACAGTGGTTGGAATAAAAAGTGAGTATTAGTATTAGATCTTTAAAAACAATGTTTTATTCCTAACAAGGTAGGCTGTGTCACGTGTGTTGCAAACCCACGCCTCTGAATTCTTGTACGGTTTTAATGTATTCGGTGTATCAAAGCAAGGGTGAGACATTTGTAGTATGGAGAAAGTAGTAGAAACTAGGGTACGTAGCCGTTATATTTTAAATTTTTTGGATTATTTCTCGTGCTCTAGTATAATGTCTAATAATTGTTAGTCAACCAACTGCTTTTTTTCTTGGTTTAGTACATTTTAGGACAGCTTTAGTTTTTTGCCTTAGCACAAACTCATTTACTATATATGTTACTGCAAACAGTTATACTCAGAGCTAGTTGGATTTTTCTGCCTAAAAAAGGAGAAAGGATGAGCATGTTTGATTAGGAAGTAATGACCAACTTATGTTCTGAACTTTGGTAACATAAATGTTGGCAGAGAGTGATTTCATGTGTTCACTTTTTAGAATATGGTTTAATACGGATAGAAGAATTTAATTACAGAACCTAATTTTTCACCTGGAAGAGTTAAACCTTTTTTTTTTTTTTTTTTTTTTAAAGGAGTGGTGTATCGATCCATTGCCAGGAGTGGACAGTGGTCATAGATTGAACATATTCTAGAATATCTAGCCAGTGGAGTTCTCTTTTTCAGTTATGACTCTTTCTCCTTGGGACCCACAAATATCATGTCTAATAATTTATTCATTTTTGGTGCTTGAAATAGAAGAGCCTATAATTTTTACTGTGAGAGGTTTTAAATTACTTTTATTAGTGGTGTTTTGTCGTTCAAAGATTGCCAGAAAGTAGTTCTTCCGGGGTTGTTTGCTAGCAACTTTTAAGGCTTTGTGTCTCCTGAGCTGTGCTCTGGTGTCTGGTTCCCTACGTGAGCAAGCCATCGGATTGGATGAGCACTCTAGTGCTGTGGAAGAAGGTATTCTCTGACTCTCACTGGCCCTGTGATTTTGGTGTTGTTTAGGTGACCCAGTTTTATTTTTTTAGAAAAATTTTTCACAAAGTGCTTTTAGCTAAGAAATACCAGACCCTGGGGCGCCTGGTGGCTCAGTCATTAAGCATCTGCCTTCGGGTCAGGGCATGAACCCAGGGTCCTGGAATAAAGCCCCACATCGGGCTCCCTCCTCCGCGGTAAGCCTGCTTCTCCCTCTCCCACTCCCCTGCTTGTGTTTCCTCTCGCGCTGTGTTTCTCTCAAATAAATGAATAAAATCTTAAAAAAAAAAAAACCAGACCCTTCGCTTTTCTTCCATTAGTATAGTTGTAGAAAGGTGGACATCTAAAATGTGTAAAAGCACATTCCTTGTGATTTTTTCCCCCACTTAAACTATTTCTCATAATGACAGATAGGATTTTAAATATTGAGAAATTGGGAAAACCATAGGGAAAACTATCTTTTTGTCTTTTACAAATAAACTATGATTTTAAATGTGATTTCTTTTTTTTTTTTTAAAGATTTTATTTATTTATTTGAGAGAGAGAGAATGAGAGACAGAGAGCATGAGAGGGAGGAGAGTCAGAGGGAGAAGCAGACCCCCCGCCGAGCAGGGAGCCCGATGCGGGACTCGATCCCGGGACTCCAGGATCATGACCTGAGCCGAAGGCAGTCGCTTAACCGACTGAGCCACCCAGGCGCCCCTAAATGTGATTTCTTTAGTATCTAAATTATTTCTAATATCCAGGAAAGTTCATCGTATGGCTCCTGGTGTGTATTGTAGATTTCTCTATTTAAACTGTATTTCAGTCTTGTATTAGATTTATTGTACATGCGGATACTCTGTCAGTATTGGGTAAAGTTGAGAGCATTACGATACAAAAAGAATCTCCATTCTCTCCAGGTAATAAAATATCTCATTTGTGCATATCATGTGTGGGAAAATTAACGTCCATCCAGGAAATCAAAAAGAAAAACAGCAAATTCATGATACAGGATTGCTTCCCTCCCCATTTACTTTTGTAAATAAGTGTTTTAGGATTTCATCTTAATAGCTGTGAACACACAGGTTTTGTGCTTAACTCTTTTATGTGCAATATTTTGTTTAAAATTACAGGTAGATGTGTACAGCTTAAAGACTTGGGTTTTGAGTGGCACTTGTAGCTTATAAGAAATTATGAAAGTGTCAAATGCTTGTATTTCCTGATTTTACGACGTCAAAATAACGTTTTTTCCTTTGTTAGAATTCAGTAACACAAGTAAAATGATAGGCTGCATAGATTTGTTTTCAGTTACTTTTATGTACTGATTCCTTGGAAAAAATTTAAAAATGGCACTGAACTTTGGAGATCTTTAATATCTTTTAGATGTATTGAGGATATTAATGAACAAAGATGTATTTTTTGTAGGTGATTTGGGATGTAGATCAATATACGTAATTTTGAAAAATTCGATCTTAGTATTTAGAGAAGGCTTTAAATAAACCCCATTTTGAAATGGGAAGAGTTACTCAAATGCCCAGCAAGTGTGTTATGTTTATATTTAGTACTGTGTAAGTAATGCCACAGATCACTGTGATGTTGGAATTTATTGACAAGCTTTTAGAAAATTCTGAACTTATGCTTGTGACCTGTGAAAATTTCTGAACGTCTGGCCTTCAGTTACTACCCTAGTAGTGATGTTCCTCAGAGCAAAAGATATTTCATCTTCCTGTGGTTCAGCAAGGGTTTTCAGCTTCTGACACATAAAGGAAACTCTGGAATTGATTTGGTTTTTGTTATTTTTTAATTAAAAAAATTTTTTTTGAGTAAATACTGTGCCCAGTGTGGGGCTTGAACTCACGACCCGGAGATCAAGAGTCACATGCTCTACTGACTGAGCCATCTGGGCACCCCTTGATTTGTTTTTTAGATCAAAGTGCTTATGTAGATGTGTTTTATATCAGAGTGAGAAGGGATTTGCAGGGATCTAAAATGGAGCTTTGTGGTAAATAAAAATTTGACAGCTCCCCTTAATTTAGAGAGAATGGGAATAGATACAAGTAGATATATAAATAAAAATAAGATTCTCATTTTGAAAATGGTTTGTAAGGTATCTTATTTTTAGAAAGTCATACAACAAAAGCCCAATCTCCAAATTGGAGTTTTTTAAACTTTAGTAAATATATAAATATTTTCAAAAGCACAATAGATAATATATTTCTAAATTTTCAAACTCCTTATTGGAACTTGTTGACACAGACATTTAAATATTCCATTTGTAAATAAATCTTAATAAAGCTTAAGCTAAATTCTGCACCTAGTTACTGAGATTACTTTGTACTATGCTGTCTGTATCAGAAGTGCTGTGAGGCCCAGGCGCTCTGAAAAAACTTTGAAGACACGTGAGGATATTGTAGCCCTTTTTCCTGTTCCTGAAGGAGCTCCCTCAGTACACCACCCCCTCCTGACCTCTAGGTAAATGCATGTTTTAAAGTTTTCTCTAGGAAATCATGTTGAGGATTGCTTTTTAATTATTTATTCTCCTTTTGGCTATCTTATGTAAGAGGTCAGAGGTGGGAAATCATTAAATGAAAGATTTTGCTTTGAGGATACATCTAATTGTGTCACTAAAGGAGCTCCCTCAGCAGGAGAAAAGTGTCACTTTGCATGAATAGTTCAGCATTCCCTAAGAAATACCTTGTTTTTGTTTTCCCCTCTGGAGAAAAACCACATCAGAAATCTTGAAGGAGCTTTTCTAAGGGCCAGAATGCTTAAGCAACTAGATATTTTTAGAGTGGTTGGTTCTACCTTTTGATGTTTAAAAAGCCATCTCTCTGGTTATGTCTTGGAAGTGCATTCATGAGTGAGTGAGTGAAGGTTGAGGATGATGTAGTCTGATAAACCATCTGATAATGGTTTGATCTACAGTCTTAGCTGAGTTGGTCTGGATGTTGTTTGAGTGTGGTAGACCTAATCATGTTCCTGACCTACCTTGAGTGTATTTTATGTCAGACTCCTGACTATTTTACATGTATTATTTAATTTTTGTAACAATTCTGTAAAGGTAGGTATAGTTAACACTCATTTTACAGGTGGTGAAAATCATGCACAGCTAGTTCTGTAACTTTGCTATTAATTTACACAGTATTCGCTTTTGATGGACTCTTTCATTTTTTTTGGAAATTAAAATTCTTTAAGATCTCTTTATTCTGTAAGGGTAGTTGCTTAGGGACTCTCTAAGTGCCATGCTCTTAAGTCATTTGAAGAAAGGATTTGAATAATCTGTTTTTATAATCTAGCGGTTAAGATTTGGAATGCTGCTTTTGAGGATATGAAATGTTTACTTCCTTTATAGAACAGATTTTCATTTTAGTTGAGAACGGATTTGTAGTCCTACTAAATTTTTGTCAGAGAAATCCGAAGTCTTGCCTCTTAGATCTCTAAAAAGTAATTGGTGGACAAAGTCTGAATAGTGGTAAAAATAATTTTGAATGATAATTGAACTTTTGTCTTTTTCAGTTGGGATGAATGGGTTCCAGAAAGCAGAGTACTCAAATACGTGGATACCAATCTGCAGAAACAGCGAGAACTCCAAAAAGCCAATCAGTAAGTTTGTTTTGCAGCGTGAATAGGAGGAGAAATGTCTACAAATTAATTTTGGGAAATGGAATGAATACTAGAATCATATTGGCTCCCCACCTACAAAATGATTCTTGGTACCTGTTAGCTGCTGTGTTGGGGCTTTAAACTTCAATCAGAGAAGCCTTTCCTAGAAAAAGGAAGTAGATACTGGTCATTTCTTGAGTCTGTCCATAGAGTTAGAAGACAGCAGGCTGTTGTTGGAAAGTCCTGTAGTTGCAAACTCACTGATCTCCTTACCTCCTAGGCTCTGTGGGAGTTAGACTTGGGAAGGGGGTGTGGGACCTCAGTTTGAATATAAATTTCAGATGGAATCAAGCTGGCACAGTTTATTTTTCCACATAAGTACTCATTTAATGACAACCATTGAAATTATTTTTGAAGGGAGCAGTATGCGGAGGGGAAGATGAGAGGGGCTGCCCCAGGAAAGAAGACATCTGGTCTGCAACAGAAAAATGTTGAAGTGTAAGAAGCTCTATCTTTGTTTTAATTTTGTATATTGTTTTATAAGTGAAATTCAAACTCAGTACTCATTATCATGTATTAGGATTTATTGAAAATGGAAACTGGAACATTTTAACTTGAAAAACGCCAATGAGAATCCCGTTCTCAAGTGTTGGGTTGTTGAAAATACGTAATAATTACATATTAATTCCTTAATTTCCTTTAGCAGGTTTTCTGTACCACCTCGCCCCCTTTTTTATTATGGTGAAAAATACGTAACATAAAATTCACCGTTGAACTCATTTTTAAGTGTGTAATTCAGTGGCATTGAGTACATCCAGAACCCTTTTTAAGGTGTGTTTGTGTGTGTGTGCATGTATGTATTTTCTTTTACAAATAGAGTATTATCAGTAGAACACAAGTCTTAAGATATTTTTTGGGCAGATTTGCTCTTTTGTTTAACTCTTCTTTTGAAACCCGTGGTAAGAATGTGTGAGATGTTAAAGTTTCAAATTACCCACCCACCCCGGTGGGGGGGGCGGGGGGCATTTCTTGTCGTTAACTCTTAAGATTTAGAACATCTTGGTAATAAAACCTATGTGTGGAAGTCATGCACACATGATAGATCAAAAACTTTTATTAAAAGATAATTTTATTTTTTGTGACTTGATTATTTTCATTTAAAAACAGGTAGTTTAGGGGTGCCTGGGTGGCTCGGTTGGTTGGGCAGCTGCCTTCGGCTCGGGTCGTGAATCCTGGAGTCCCAGGATCGAGTCCTGCGTTGGGCTCCCTGCTCAGTGGGGAGTCTGCTTCTTCCTCTGACCCTCCCCCACCTCCTGCCCTCTCATTTTCTCTCGCTCTCTCTCTCTCGTGAATAAGTAAAATCTTAAAAAACAAACAAACAAAAAAACAGGTAGGTTAGGGGGCGCCTGGGTGGCTTAGGTACAGTCTACCTTTGGCTCAGGTCATGATCACAGGGTCCTGGGATTGAGTCCTGCATCGGGCTCCCTGCTCAGGGGCAGTCTGCTTCTCCCTCTCTCTCTGCCTTTCCCCTTGCCTTTGCTCTCTCACTCTCAAATAAAATCTTTAAAATAAAAAAAGATTTTAAAAACAGGTAGTTTAATAAGTGGTCATGTTCTTGTCAAAGGATCAAAAGTAACTGTTCTAAAATAGGATTTATTGAGGAGAAGTTTGTATGTTTTTCCTCAGAATTACATCGTATTGCTTTAGAGTTGGTGGTCTGCCTTTACTACCTAAACATGAGATGTTAGTCATGAAGGGAACTAGGCAGTGGAAGGTTGACCTTTGTCGAGCTGATATTTGATAGCCAAGGGGTGGGTGTGCCACTGAGGGCGGCCCGTAGCTTTCATTAAAAAGCAGTAACAAATTATGCCGTTCTTTGGAAAACTGCCATGTAGTAGTAGTCATTAGGATTTTAATAGCAAGTGAGTCTTAAAAGTCAGCAACTTTCTCATAAGGGAGAATATGATGGATTTTTATCGATAAAATACTTTTGATTTAATGTTAATCCTTTCTCGTGTTAAAAGTTGGTGTAGAAAAGGGCGCCTGGGTGGTTCAGTTGGTTAAGCAACTGCCTTCGGCTCAGGTCATGATCCTGGAGTCCCGGGATCGAGTCCCATATCGGGCTCCTTGCTCAGCAGGGGGTCTGCTTCTCCCTCTGATCCTCCCCCCTCTCATGCTCTCTCTCTCTGTCTCATTCTCTCTCTCAAATAAATAAATAAAATCTTTAAAAAAAAAAAAAGTTGGTGTAGAAAATTAGTCTAGTAGTAGGCTTAAAAATTATTTGTATTTGAATATAAAGTGTTGTACGATTTCAACTACAAAAATAATGGCTCAGTAAGTATGAAGTAAAACTTTAAAACTCAATTTTCCCTTCCTGGAGAGTGGGGTCCTCTTCAAATTTATTGGCTCCTGGGTCTTTTGATGAGGGATCTTGGGTCTTTTGGGTCTTCTTGTCATTAGGTAGGATAAGATATGTTCTAGGCTCACCTGGTACGTTTTCTGCCCTAAGACATGGAACTTCCTTTTTTCTCCAAGAGCCTTTATTAATGGGAAAGATGACGTTTTGTGGAGATCATAATCTGAGTGGTTAGAGAAAACATCAAGTAATTTTATTTTTTTAATATATTTTATTTATTTATTTGACAGAGACACAGCGAGAGAGGGAACACAAGCAGGGGGAGTGGGAGAGGGAGAAG